TTTTTTTTTTTTTTTTTTTTTTAAATCCCCCCTTTCCGCACCTTCTGGTGCCCAGCCCCTCGCGTGCTTCTTTTTCTAGAAATAAATTGCCTCTTCAAAAGGAACTCCAATTTCAAGTACAAAAAGACAAGTGCATGCGTGCACACAGGGACGTACAATTCCTGGCCACGTACATGTACATGTACGCACGTGCACTAAATTGGCACGCGGATGCGTACGTGAGCAAGTACACTTACAAAAATGGAAGCAGCTTATCCCTTTTTATTCTATACTAAGAGAAAAGGGGGTGTGTTTTTTTTGTAGGTGCTTGTCATACTGCCTTGCATGTAATTCGCATTATCAGCGGGGTACGCGAAGGATCGCGGAGGATTATAGTAGGTATGCTTCACTTTCGCTGTTCCTATATAGCACATATGCTTGTGCATGTTGGAGGAACTAGAATAAGAAGGGGAGGCAATTTAAGCGCGGTGTTTTCTTAGCACGTGGGCTCGTGCACATGCACGAACATGCGCATACAACACGCGTACAAGTCCGTATAGTCCATGCATCCGGGGCAGGCACCGGGGAATTTGGCCGCATGCGACCTACAAGGAACTTCCCCACGCGTCGACATAAGTAGGAAGGGGAACAACAACAAAAAAAAAAAAAACTTAAGGATAAAGCCACAAGGAAAGTTAGAAGGAAATGAAATTAAAAGACTCGTTCTACATTAAGCTAAAAAAAAAAAAAAATTGACATCTTGTTTAGTTTTTTTTTTTTTTTTTTTTTTTTAAGAGGAAGAAAAAATACTTCTGCTAATGGTGTAGAATGTGTGTACTCCAAAAGGAATAGAAAAAAAAAAAAAAAAAAAGGGGGCGCAGGGAATTTTTTTTTTTTTTTTTTTTTTTTTATTAATTGTGCTAGAAAAGGGAAAAAAAAAAGTGAACAAGTGTTTAGTTTACGAAAAACGTAAGAGGAAAACACAATCCTGTTAACAGCAACGTCGTTTTTGCTACACATAGTTTTTGTGACAGCGTGATTTTTGCTACACATACCTTTTGCGACTATGTAGCTTTTGCAGCACATTAAAGAGCTAAGACACAAACGGTTTTGAAGCTCGCATGAGAAACCCACGCCGGTATGTGCATACCAGAGCGCTGCACCTTTTCTTGTACTCCATGCGCCCACTCCTCCCCTGTGAGACTTGTCGAACCAGGCGGCGCGCACGACCCTCTATTTTTAAAGAGCATTCGCGTAAGCGCTCACGCAAGCCGCCCTGCGAGCGCATACCGGTGCACACAAATGCGTATATAATATATTCCTACACGTAATAATCTGCACACATGCACGCGGCTAGCCACACACACTTAACCCCCATGCCCGAAAAACGCAACTCCCAAATTTGTGCAACTTCGGGTTATAACCCTAAACCACCACACACGTGCCACAACGTCCACTCCGACTGGCGCCAAGTTTTGTTTCCCACATGTGTTTAATTTGCCTGTTTTTTTTTTTTTTTTTTTTTTTAAAACCTGTTTTTTTTTTTTTTTTTTTTTTAATTCTGTTTTTTTTTTTTTGTTTTTCTGCCTACAAATAAGTTTGGGAAGAGTCTACTTTGTGGGGAAGATTGTGCTCACATTCGTGAACACACGTGAGCGACAGGTTGCCCCTATTTTGTAAAAAAAAAAAAAAAAAATTTGCATGAAGAGACGGGTCTTGTTCAGATTGTTAATGCGGAGGAGGCCTCCACAGTTTTGTCCTCCGTGGTATGTCAGCAACCGCATACCTTTCCTCTTCTTCGAGAGAGACCCAAAATTGTTAAGTGACCCCGATTTGTCCATTTTAAGAGGTGTGCGAATTGTCCCTTTTAAGAGGCTTGCGAATTGTCCATGTTAAGGGGTGTGCGAATCGTCCCTTTTAAGAGGCTTCCGAATCCCCCCCTTCGAGTCCGCCATGTACCTGAAGACTAAGATGCCAAACTTCCTGAACCCTGATCTAGACGGGAAGACCTACAATTGTATAAACGTTGAGAACAAGCTGATACAAAATATGCACAAGATTTACAAGCAGCAGCGTGAAGAAGGGGTCAAGAGGAAGGGGGGTACTCCACCACATCACCTGTTCGACCCCGAAGACTACATGGACTTGTCCCTTTTTAACAGCACCCCAGATGTAAACAACATATGTGTTGAGTTGAAGTTAAAATTGGATGTTAGAAATGGAGATGGGGAGGCCGACCTCGATTCGTCCATTCTTCTGGACATCAACCCGAGGGGTGTCATGTCGAGAGAGCAGCGGACCTTCGTCTACGAGTATAGGAGGACCAAGCCGATGCGCGACAAGGCCCTCGATCATCTCACCAGGGAGCAGCGGATGAAATACGTAAGAGGGAGGGAGTAATTATGCGTATAATGTGGAGAGGCAAACGATGGGTGTCCACTTTTTTTCCCCTCTTCATGCGTGTCTAATTTGTGTATGTCTCTCTCTCCCCGTTTATGCAGTTCACCTCCATGTCGCACCAATTGGCCGGAAGATCAATCACCTTCCAAGGAACCACGTACAAGCTGCTGAACGTGCTACAGACGGCCATCTACGGAGGGGTGTACCTCGCGCAGGTGGTGGAGTCCTCTGATGAAGGTTCCGTGAAGGAGAAGAAGGAGAAGAAGGCCATAAAAATTCTGTCCAAGCATCTAATCGAGTTAGCAAAAGATAAAGTTCAGGAGGATCCCCTCTCAGAATATCACTACCGAAATTGTATGAGTGGACACAGTAACATCCTTAGCTGCGACATGATTTTCGACGATGATTTTTATGTGTATATGATCATGCCGTTTGCAGTGCATGGTGATTTATTTGAAGTCATGAAGGCTCGAAGTAAACCATTCACAGAAGAAGAAGCCAAATATATTTTTTATCAGATTCTATTATCCATTAAATTTCTTCATTGTAGAAGATTAGCCCTGAGAGATATTTCTCTCGAGAATGTACTTTTATTTGAAAATGAACGTAGTGGATTGATCTACCCTGTTTTGAATGACCCTGGTCAGGCAACCTACTTCAACATGAACAAGAACAATCAGGTTACCTTATTAGAGTATAAAAAAATATTTGGTAAAATTTTCCGTCCTCCAGAGGTATATGAGAAATGTATGTATGATCCTACAAGGGTTGATATTTTTTGTGTTGGTTACATTTTATACTTTTGCCTGACCAAGCAGGAGCTATTCAGATGTGCCTTAGCCAAAGACATCCATTGGAATATGCTCAAAATGAAAAACTACCACCAGCTCTTGAGGGAAAAAAAGGGACTCCATTTATCAGAACCCGCTTTAGATTTCATATTTCGTTGCTTAGAACCCAATTTTAAAATGAGACTTGAAATTGGGGAGGCGTTAACACACCCCTGGTTCAGGGGAAACTTCTTTCCTGTGCACAACCAGAGCCTTTTTCTTCTTCGGGGGGACGATGAAGTGGGTGCGGTGGATGGGGGGACTGTCTCGTCGAGAGAAATTCCCAAGGGACACTCCTCCTCTTTGTTCAATTTCAAACTTGCCACAGAAATAGAACGATGTGCTAAAAGGAAAAATGTTAATATAGATCAGAGCTGCTCTATCAAATTCAGCATCCATGAGCATGTGATCGTTGCCCCGTGTCCTCCTCCTCCTGCTTCTTCTACTCCTACTGCTGCTTCTACTGCTGCTCGCCCACAGGTACACTTCAGCGGGGGTAACAGCCCCTCCCCTTGTTTGAACAGCACACACAGGCAGGATTATTACCCCCCAGAGTTTGAACCCCATGCGGAGGATGGCCTCATCAGGGGGGAGAAGTGCGTTGGCGACACGCCAGGATGGCCCACTTGCAACGGGGCTCCTCCCAAATGGACAGACCTTAACAGCCCCTGCGGGGTGATCCCCCCGTACGTAAGCGGCTACAAAAGGGTAAGCAATTACAAGGACGTAATCAGTTACAAGAGTATTAGCGGTTATAGGAAGGAGGCGTTCCCCACCAGCGCCAAAGATTATCTTCGAGGCCACAGGGCCGGGGGTTGTCCCTACCCTTCCGCCCACGGTATTTATGCAAAGCACTATGGGGTTGTGAGAAAGCCACCCCCACCGATAGAAAAAACAGATTGGATGAAGAAGTATGAGGACTCCGCTTCTACCCACACGTGTCACACAAATTGGACAGAAGGAGACAAGCAAAGCAGGGTTCATAACTCCCCTGCAAGTGGCAGCGCACTGGGGGAAGAGTCTAAATGTAATTTTATAAGGAGCCATAAAAAAGGTGCATACAGAATGATCGGAATGAAAAGGAAGAAACAGAAACTGAGTTCCGACGCAGAAGATGAAGCGTCAGTTAGCGGCGGTCATAACCTGTTCGTTGAAAACCCAAGCAGCAGCTTCCACGTGAGGGCTAGGCAGGCGCTACAAACGCGGGCACAAGATGATACCCTTAAGACGGTACAGAAGACTCCTCACATGGTAACAAACGCAGCAGTCGCCAAGGGACGTGGCCTCCTGAGTATCTTCTCGGAGGCACAAATACCCAATGGAGGAGGACTACCAAAGAATGGACCGGTTGGCAAAAAGCTTCATTATCCCATTGGACCTTTCGAGGAAGAGTCCTTCATCCATGTGCAGGGGGAGGAGGAAGAGGAGGAAGAGGGACAGAGTGGTTGGGGAAATATTTTGCTGAGGAAAAACACCCCTCTGGAGTGGAACAAAAATATAAATTGCATAGGAGTTAGCAAATGGGAGAGACACAAAGACGACATGAAGATGCAGGGAGGTGGGTACCAAAATGGACCACTTAACATTCAACAAAAGGAAAGTGATAAAAGGGAATACATCGAGGACGTGGAAGAGGTGGTATCTCCTCAGTGTGAGAAAACATGTGAGGTGAAATTGAGCGAAAGCAGCTGGAGAGACATCCCCATGGGGAGATTCAAACAAGAGGAAGAAAAAACATACACAGTTGAACTGGAAGAAATTGTCTCCCCCATGAATGGAAGCCCACTCCACGACGTCACAATTGTAACAGGAGGGGATACTCCACAAAGAACAGATCGTATGGACACAAACGATTCGAATGAAAAAAATGAAGAAACAAAAAATAGCTTCAGTTATAATACAAACGGAGGTACCAATGGTAACGAGTTTTTGCATTTAAATGAAGTGTTAACAAGGGAGAGAAACGAACCCTACAAGGTAGTTGATTTAGGGGAAGGGATCTTCAAAAGGGGTGAGGAAGCTCCTCCAAGTGGGTTACATAATGGTGGAGGAGATGCCTGTAGGGTAGTAAAACGGTGGTGTAGTTTAGGCGGAAGAGAGATCGTCTGGAAGGACTGTTCTCCAAAGGGTATCCTAACTCCTTGCGAAGAAAATTTTTTCAGCAGGGAAAATACACCAAGAATAAGTGTAGGCAGTCACACAGATCAACATGCTCATCTAGGTGAGGGGGAGGAAAATGTAAAAGGGACTCCATTGGGTGAAGAAATGCACATAAGGGGGTTACCTGCACACAGAGATGCATCCTATGCATATATTAATATGAAAGACGAAACGGAATCTCCACGATTGAATTCCCCATTGTGTGAGGAGAACTATTCTGATGTAGTAACTAGCCATGTGGAATCTCTGAAACGGTGCGCATCCCCGAACAAGTGTGAAGAACAGAATCAAACGGGTTCTAACTCGTTCGATAGATGTAGCGAGAGTGAATCAAGGCAGATGTGCAGCATTGCGAGTAGGAGCGAATCCTGTTCCATGGACCAGGACAAGGGAAGCACGTTGGAGAAATTAATTACAACTATGTCTTCGTGCCTTTCTGAGGTTGCCTTGGAAATAGACCTGGCAAATTTGAAAAGGAAGTGCCCCACGCCGGGTGGTGAAGCGGCGGCGAGGGTTGGCCAGCTTCTCCTCGGTGACCCCCACGACGAAGAGGAAGATTTCAAGGACGCCCTGGAGTATGAACTGGAACACGAGCTGGAGAGGGAGATCAGGGAGGAGGAGCTACTACTCGAGAGAGAGCTAGAGGTTGAGTTGGAAACGGAGTTGGGCAGGAGGGCAGAGGTCGAATCGCGTATAGCATTGCGTGTAGAATCGCGTGTACAATTGGAGAGGGTGCCATATGTAGAGCTAGACGTTGCTCCATCTGTCCATCCCAATGTCGTGCGGCTACATACGTCGTCTTCCTCGACATCTGACACGGGGGAAGTTAGAAACGGTTCAGGTGGCACGTTGAAGGAGCAGTATGAATCCATGTCAGATGTGGAACGGCAACAGGGCAGCGCGGTGAACATGCACCCGAACGACATATGGGGGACCCATTCGATTAGCACAAAAAAGGCCAACCAAGAAGTTAAGACACCGTGTAAAAAGTTAGTGAGTGGGAAGAAAACACAACAGGTCGGAGAGGTTGTGATGGAAGAAGGAGAAGAAGAGGAAGAGGACATGATGAAAAAACGTGTAGCATTGTGTGGGGTGCCCACGAAGAAAAGAAACACTTCATGCAAATTGCAAATGAGAAAAAAAAAGTCCACTAATAAAATGAAGAAAGTGTACCTTCCTGCCAACCCAGAAAAAAAGAAGAGCAAAATTGTGAGGCTTCAAAAATGTGTACTCGGGGAAGGGTTAAGGAAGAGCAGTCGGAGTGGGCCTGCAAAGGGGACCATCACAAAGGGGACCGCCGCCAAGCCTCACCCCTTGGGCAAACACGCAGAAGCGCTTCACCGAAAAGACAGGGACGAACCGAACGACATGAGCTCCATTATCAACTGCACGAATAGGAAGGGGGCGACAAAAACGAAGGCCAAGATTCCCTGCGACAGGAAAAAGTGTTTAACGAAGCGGCACACCATATCGGAGCTTCGTCCCGGAGGACGCGCCAACATCAGCAGTGACGTGGGCGGTAATATCCATGTGAAGGTTGTGCCCGATCTAAGGACCACCAGAACGAGTGGCAAATTTCACGGTGCAAAATCAGCAGGGGGGAAGAGCACTCTACTGCATCTGCCTGACACTAGGATGATGGTGGAGGCTCTCCGTGACGTGGGGAAGAGACACACCATTTGTAACGCCACAATCGATGGGAAGAGTCGTGAAGGTGTACAGGTGCTCCCCGCCTCGAGGGGCACCGTCGGAAGGATTAGTCTGAAATGTGGTGCCAAGACAGGCGATGGCATCCGCACTAGTGTGGGCGGCATCCGTAGTAGTGTTGGCGGAGTTCTCACCAGCCAGGTAGCCAAGTGGAACGGCAAACATATAGAAGAGAAAGTTCGAAGGAACCACAACCAGGTGCACAGAACCTGTGTAGAGGAGCGCAACCAAAAGGAGCTAATCAAGAGCCATGTGGTTAAAGAATTTAAGGGAAAGGGGAAAAGCACTCTGGTCGAATCACACCGAGGTGGTGAATTATCCACGGAGGAGACGATCACCATAAAGAGGGACAGCTTCCTCCAAGGGTTGAACACCACAGGACTTTATGCAAATGGGGCAGAGGCAGATGTGGACCACGGATTGTTAGGTAGCCAAGATGAAGTGTACATTGAGGCTAAGAGAGAGGAAAGAGATTTTCTTAATGGTGAGTTTACCACAGTGGGTGTAAGAGGTCAACTGGACAAACACAGTGCAGGGAAAAAGGTGCACGGATGCCAAGACATGCAGCTACAACACTGCTTAGAAGGAAATGAGGAGGCCCCTTCACATTATAGAAGCGACGTGGGTGAAAAAACGCTCGAGAGGGGGGGAAGCAATATGATGATGGCGGACATTTCCTTGGGGAAGGACTACGCGAAGGACAAATCGGCTCTGAAGAAAGACCCTCATGTGGTGGTAACTTCCACATACCTAAAGGTCGACGCGAAGAAGAGCCACAAAGATGTATCAATGTGTAGAAGGAAAGAAGATCAGAAGACCAGAATATCCAGTGACGAGTTGGTAGTAAATAAATTTTTGGCTGAAATGGGGGGGAACCCTCCTGCAAGAGTGCCCACACGAGACAGCGTGAAGAAGGGAAGCTGCAAAAGCATTCAACCGAACAAAGTAAACGGACATGGGGAGAAAGAAGCCAATGTCATAAAGAAAAACAGTTCCTTGTGTAGGAGTGTATTGGTGGCTAGTCAAAGGGGAAACAACGTGAAGGACAGAGAGAAGCAAATAAAGAAGAACGAAAGTAGGAGGGTGAGAGACGGGGCAATCAAACGAGGGAGTGCTGACGTGGGGGGAGACAGGGAAAGGTGCCCACACGGGGTGACACCCAGCAAAGTCCAGATGCGCGAAGGGAAGAACAACGTGAGGACTGCTCAGGAGGGAAACAGTGTTTACTCCAGTGCAGGGAAGAAGGACAGCTACCTGGAGAAGCGAAAAACGTATGTGTTCTTTTTTAAAAAGGGCCTGAAAGGAAAATTGGAAAAAATGAACCAAAAGGCAGAAGCAGAAAAGAATAAAAAAAAGGTCCCAGGCATTTTACACAAGAGAACAGAAATGAGCGAAAGCCCCATCGATGGTAGTAGGAGGAAGAAGACACTCCAAGGGGATGAAAACACAAAAGAGGAGGAACAAAAAAAATTATATAAAAAAGTGTACCCACGGAAAATGCACGATGTGGTCTCATTAGAATCAAATAACCTACATGGACAGATGACGACCTATAGATGCACCAATAGGGTTAATGAAAAAGGGAAGGAAATTTATTTCTACAGTGGGAATAGCGGTTCTGTGAATGGTAAGTGTCACCAATCAGTTAGCCGTAATGGGGTGGAAGTTCAATCTGAAGTCACACCTCCGAGGGGGAACAACAACCTCACTGATGTGAAGAAGGTGGTACACTTTAGTCACTTGGATTCGAAAAATGAAAGGAGCAATAATTCCTTGGGGGTACCCAGCATGGATGTAAGTAGGACAGACACTTTTAATTTTCACCACCATGAGAAGAAGGATGGTGAAACGGGGTATAGTGCCGGAGTCTCCTCTCCATCGAATGCACAAAAAAAAAAAGGGGTAGAAACTGCAGATGGATCATTTACCAGGAGGAGAAAAGATGTCCTCAATGGAGGAAACAGAATGCAGGGTTATACATTAAGGGGTCTGTCTCAAATGGGTTCTGTAAAAGGTACGAGGGAACGGGAGTTAGAATCCCTTTCGAGGAGAAACGGAGCAGGCGACACGCGCTACACAGATCATGTGAAGAAGAACCTTGAGGGTTATAATGTACAGGTCCATCAGAAGGGTTTCCTCCCCAAGGGGTTAATGGGAGGAGAAAAATTTGCGACCAACCAAGTTGCTTCTCTTTCTTTATATTTGGACCACCCGGATGATGCTGATCCCCCCACACACCGCTCATGGGGACAGAATGCGCAGCTGCCTCAACAGTTGATGATGCAAAGACGGATGATGGGGGGTGCATTCAATGGGGAGCGAACAACCCTCATGGAGACGCCCCCAATGGTGACATGTAGGACTGGTACGAATGTCGCAGGGGGGAGAATCAACGGGGGGAAAAGTCAAACACATGGAAGTGCAAAAAAGGAAACAGAAGGAGAAAAGTATAACCAAAAGGGACCCACCATTGCTATGCAGCACCAAATTGGTAGTGGAAGATGCAGCAACGGTAGGACAATGGACACACATGGGAAAATGAAACACCTTCTTAACTTGAACGATCAAATGAAAAGGAGTGGTGAGAAGAATGCTGTCCATATTAACCCAATGGTGGAAAGCCCTTCCGTGTGGTTGTCACACATAGAACAGGGCAGTGCTGACCCCTACCTGCAGCAGAGTCAAGGGAAAAAAAAACAAAGTGCTAACCCATGTTTGAATTTAAAAGAGGATGAGATGCAGACAGTTTTCCATTCAACTGGCAATGTGGTTCACTTGCATGCATCTAAGGTGGAGTCCCCTATGCCGATGCCTGTCTTAAGCCCAAGAAACGTCACTCCAGGGGGCGTCAATCGTTGTGTGAAAAAAGTGGCTCAAATTGTACCCTGCAACGTAGTGCAGAAAGAGGAGGTGCAAATGGTAAGGCCGTTCAGTGGTCATGCCAATTACGCAGTCGCCAAGGGGACGAACACAACTGGCCCCACCCTTAGAGCGTATCACTTACCAAACACGTGTCATTATGGGGCTCAAAATGTATTCATCAGGTGCAACGAAGGGAAGGTAGCCTACCCAATGGGTGATGCATCTGGAAGGAGCAGCAAAATGGAGAAACGGAAAAATGACCAGAACAGAGGGAGTCGCAACGATGCGTATGCTCAGGTGTTGGAAGCTACCCACCAAGGGGGGACAAATAAAACCTACACGTCTTTGCAAGGGACAAATGGTTACGCAAATGCGAGGCAGACAAAGAACAACGTCATGTCAGGGAAAAACAAAAAGAATTCTAACTTGAGCATCTTGTGGTGGAAGACTTAGGAGGGGATCTCCCTCTCGTCGCTTCCCCATCCCCCCTTGCACTCTATTTGCGTAACCAAACAGGGGCATGCATGCAGGCAAGTCGCTAGCTGCACATGTGCAGAACAGTACGCGCTTTATTCAGACAATGTACAGAGGGGGGGAGGGGAGGTTTGAATGTATACAAGTCTCTTCGTCAGTACACAACATGCAAATTTGTTTTGTGTAACGTTTCATTTGGCAGCCCATTTGTGCCATGCACTTTTAAATGTATGTTCTATGGTCGGGTCGTGGCGCAGCGCGTCTGTTTGGCCATGCCGCTTGTCTCTCCCATCTCCTGCTTTTTTTTTAATTTTTTTAAGGAAAATGTTGTTTGTGCTGTTAAGAGATGGGTGGGGGGAGGACAAAAAAAAGAAAAAAAAAACTGCATGCAGGGAAACTTCTTGTGGGATCCTGCCAAACGGAAGACAAAATTGTTTGTGTTTCATTTGTGCTTCATTTGTGCTTCATTTGTGCTTCATTTGTGCTTCATTTGTGTTTCATTTTTGTGTCTGTTTTGTTTTGTTACCTTTACCAACTGATTCGTGATCATCGGTAGGGCAGCCACTCAAATGGTGTATATCACCCACACAGCAACTGCAAAAAAGAGGGGGGACAATATAACCCCCCTCAGAGCTTCTTAACCTTTGTGCCGCTCGAACGTTAACAACTTTTCATTTTACACACATCAAAGGTGTAAATGGTATATTTTAAAATGTGGTTGGAAAAGGAAAAAAAAAAAAAAAAAAAAAAAAAAAAAAAAAATTCAAAAATAAGTGCGATTATAATAAGACAAAATTTTCTAATACCACCAGTGTGGGGATATAAAAAGAGTTCACACAAGGGAGTTATAAACAGATGGCGGAGCTCTCTCATGCAACGTTCAGATAAGAACTAGAAACACAATTGTTGGTACGGGGAGGGGGGGTAGAGTGACACGCATGTGACACGAAAGTGGAACATTTTTCCCACTCGGCATAATCAAAAATGAGATGATTAAAAAAATGGGGTGATTAAAAAAAAAGGGGGTCTTCTAAACACCCCAGAAAAAGACGTATTCGATGAAAAATATCACCAAAGTAAAAAACAGGGGAAGGGG